CAGGGAGGGTAGGAAGCGCTACAGTGAAAAGTATTAACTCTATCATTAGAGTTCAGTCTTTAGAAACAAATAAGGGAAAACTCCTGGGAGTTTTAAATACGAGCAATGGTTTGCCTAAAAGAAATGCTTCTTCATGGAAAGTAAATAATCTAGCAGTATTCCATGATCAATACTGAATTTCCTCCCAATCTCTGTTTTTAGGTTATTTGCCTTGCAGTTGCTCTGAACTAACTCCTGCTCCATATCACTATGTCTTACCCCAATTGCTTGGCCATCTCAGGAAATGCAGACTAACAACAAAATTAGTTTAAGCAAAAACATGGCAGGATCAACTGGCTGCTGAAAAGAAATCCCATGGCACACACTTAAATGAATGAGAAAGACATGCAAGGTAAGCCTCTAGTGTACATCAGTCCTTGAGGGCTTTCTTAGAGACACATCGTCTACAGAGAAGTAGGATGCCATTTTTACTTTACTCCATTATTATATATGTCTGTCAAGGATATAGGACCAAAATAGCAGCATAGCAGTTAATGGACTTTGGCTAATAATTCTATCATACTCCCATTCTTGTGATTAATTTTGAGATAAAAACAATCAAACAAAAGCCAGAAAACAAAACCCAAACAGACATAGCTGAGAAAACAAAACAAGACCTAAAAAAAAAACTCAAACAAACAAAACAAAACTCAGAAACAAGATGAAGGAAAGAAAAAGAATAAATAAATGCTTTCTTTCTTTATTGAACTTTATTCTATGTTTTTTAAAAAAATACACTTTACATATTTACATATTTTGCAGTCATTTTGTCTTTATCATTATCTTTCTCAGCATCCATCAAAATAAAATATTGAAAATGAGCAGCCAGGCACAGTGACTCACACCTATAATCCCAGCACTGTGGAAGGCCGAAGTGAGAGGATTGCCTGAGCCCACGGGTTCGAGACTAGCCTGGGCAACATGGGTAGACCTTCTCTCTACAATAAGTCAAAAAATTAGCCAGAAATGGTAGTACATGCCTGTAGTTCCAGCTACTTGGAAGGCTGAGACAGAAGGATTAACTGAGCCCAGCAGGTCGAGGCTGTGGTGGCCATGAACGTGCCACTGCACTCCAGTTTGGGAGACAGAGTGAGACTCCAACTAAAAAACAAAAACAAAACCAGGAAATGAACACTCACGTCTTCTGCTCAGTGTCTTTAGCAACTACAGAATTGTCTTTGGAACCACTGGAGTGGTTTGCAAGCAGTTGTGACTGCTGAGTAAAAAGGGTTCTCAAGCACCTGATTATTTATTTTTTGCTTATAACGTCTACATTTGAAGTGCAAATTTTCTTTATTTTTATGCTAGATGGGTGAATTGAATGAATTAGCTCTCTAAAAATTAAGATTGGGTATTATAGCGAATGTTTTACAATAGGAATATATGAGGATAGGTAAAATGGTCATGATGAAACTTACATCCTAGGTTTTTTCCTATCAGTCAGTTCATCTACTTATTCCTCACTTTCTCCCTCTCACACCACTGCTGCATCTCCCAACTTTTCACAGCAAAATTCTTAGAATGATCTATATATATTCAGAGTTGAGCTCATCCCCTTCTCTTCCCAAGTGACTGAAGTAGAATTCTGTTTTCACGATTTTGCTGCCATTGCACCATCTAGGACATCAGCATTCTTTCAGTTACTGGATCTAATGGCTGCTCAGCCTCAATTTGCTTTCACTCTCTGAGGCATGTGGTGTTATTACTCTCATCCATTCTTCCCTCGGCTTCCTGACTGCTGAAGTACGCTGGTTCACAACCTGCCTCATCAAGGCGAGATTTTCAGTGCTGCCTCCTTTTCCTGCACACACCAGGGCAGGGACTTGTGTCCAGAGCTGTTCTACATCCAGAGATTAATCAAGAAAGATTTTAAAGAGAATCTGAAAAAGAACAGGAACCCAGCAGCTGGTGAAATTGAGTAAAAGGCTGAAGCTAAGAATGAAGCATAATCTTGCAGAAGTGACTGCCCTCACACCCTTGGAAATCTCATCCATTTACATGGCTTTTACTATTTACATCAGGCAAATGTCCACCCAAGCTACCACCTCCAGTGCTGACCTCTCTGCAGCTCAAGCCCTCATATTTAACTGCCTGCTCCACATTTCCACTGTTACTTTCAAACTCTTCCACCCAATTTTTCCACTTCTGTTTATAGCAAACACAAATTTTCAGTCATGAACTCAATGTAGCCAAGAAATATTACATTTATTTTTCTTTAAATCAATATAAATCTAATTCTGCAAATCCCTTCCTTTCAAACTGGAGGCAGTTTTCTCTCACTCATTATAGGGTTAGGCCCCATCCTTCAGAAGTTATGCCAAGATACCCCTCAGTTTCTTAAGTAGGGTCAAGGCATTAAGGAATCATGAAGTTACCACCAATATGCTCATTGCTCTGACTTTCAAGGTCCCTGAAGATTTAACTATTCTGTTATTTCCATGTCACTCTTGAGGCCCAGGGATTTTTTTTTAATCAAAAAGATATTTTTAGCTCTTCCTCTTAATCTTCTCTTTCCTTCTCTTCCTGAATAATTCTATCCTAAAAGCATTACATGAGGTAGAGCAAGGCTGGTGTCCATGCTCAAGGAGAGAGAGATGAAAGTCACCATGTCCCAGAGCAAGATATCAGAGGCCCGGGAGGATGACAAGAGCATCTGTCTAAGGGAGCCAGAGGAGTGGCTGGCATGGGAAAGGCAGAACTCAAGAGGTTTAAGCAGAGTGTTCATAAGCAGGGGACCTGGGGTTTCAGAGCCTGAACAGGGCTAGGAGGGAAAAAACTAGAATGGCCTTGTGGTGTTTGATTGAAATCAGAGGTATCAGTGTGAGCTCATGATTGTATATGTGTATCTATGAAGATTGCCTAGCTCTGTGTACTGAGAGGTCCTGGAATCAGCCGCATGCCAATAGCAGTGAGCAACTATGATATAGGGCAGATCTTGGCTTCTAAATACCATCCTGCACTAAAATGGACCAGGGCAACTAGCAAACTAGCAATGTAAGAAAACTTCTTCAACCTTAAAAAGGGAAATCTACAAGAAAAAACAGATAACTTTGTACTTGGTGGTGGAAAATGGAATATTTTCCTGTAAGATCGGGAATAAGGGAAGGAGATCTACTCTCACAACTTCTTTTCAACATTGTAGTAGAGGTTTTAGTTAATGCCATAAGACAAGAAAAAAAAGCTTATAGATAAAAACCTAGATGTAAGTATTCACAGATGACATGATTATCTACATAGAAAATCCTATAAAGAAGCCACTAGTGTTAGTGAGTTTAGAAAAGTTATGTGAACAACTGTTGCCCAGGCTGGAGTGCAGTGACACACTCACAGCCATCCCAGCATCGACCTGCTGGACTCTGAAGATCCTTCCACCTCAACCTTCCAAGTAACTAGAACTATAGGCATGTGCTACCATACTTGGCTAATTTTTTATTTTATTGTAGAGAGGAGGTCTTGCCAAGCTGCCTGGGTTATTTTTGAACCCGTGGGCTCAGGCAACTCACTTGCCTTGGCCTCCCAATGTGCTGGGATTTCAGGCTGAGCCACTAAGCCTGGCCAAAAACTGGAAATTTAAATACCTTTTACAATAATACCAAAAATATAAAATACTTATGGATAAATATGACCAAAAAGTACAAGGCATTTACACTGAAAACCATAATACATTGCTGAAAAAATTGAAGAGGGTCTAATAATAGGATCATGGATCAGAAGACGTTATTAAGATATCAATTCTCCTTAGTTTTTTTTTTTTTTTTAATTCCAGGTCTCACTCTGTTGCTCAGGCTGGAGTGCAGTGGCATGATCATGGCTCACCGCAGCCTCAACCTCCTGGGCTCAGGAGATTCTTCTGACTTAGCATCCTGAGTAGCTGGGACTACAGAGTCATGCCATCACCCCTGGCTAATTTTTTTAATTTTTTTGGTAGAGATGAGGGCTTTCTATGTTGCCCAGGCTGGTCTTGAACTTCTGAGCTCAAGCAATCTTTCAACCTCGGCCTCCCAAAATGTTGGGATTACAGGAGTGAGTCACCACACCTGGCCTCTCCCTAAATGTTTCTATACATTCAATGCAGTACCAACTGAAATCACAGCTGGTTATTTTTGAAGAAATTGACAAGATGACTCTAAAATTCTCAAGGAAATGCCAAAACTCCAGCATTGCCAAGATTATCTTGAAAAAACGAAAAGAATAAAGTTGAAGATGAATGAATAAATCATTAGTCAGGCATGGTGGCACGTGCCTGTAGTTCCAGCGACTTGGAAGGCTGAGGTGGAAGGATCGCCTGAGCTCAGCAGGTTGAGGCTATGGCAGCCGTGAGCATGCCACTGCACTCCAGTCTGGGTGACAGAGTGAGACTCCTACTCAGAAAATAAATAAATAAATAAATAAATAAATAAATGGAGCTGAATAAAATCCAGAAATATACCCACACATATGGGGTAACTGATGTTTAACAAAGGTTCAACAAATGGCACTAGAATAATTATATATTCATATGCCCCAAACAAATAAAAACTTTCAGTCCATAGCTTGCACTCAAAATGGATACAGAAATGGATCATAGATGTAAATGTAAAACTATGGAATTTATAGAAAAAAAAGGATAAAATCTTTATGACTTCAAGTTAGGTTAAGATATCTTACTCTCAGCCTGTAATCCCGCGCCTTTGGGTGGCTGAGGTGAGTGGATTGCCTGGTTCAAGACCCACCTGGGTGACTTGGTGAGACCTCATCTCCACAACAAATCAAAAAATCAACCGGGCGTGGTAGCACATGCCTGTAATTCCGGCTACTTGGAAGGCTGAGACGGAAGGATCGCCGGAGCCCAGCAGGTCGAGGCTGTGATGGCCGGGAGCGGCCACTGCACTCCAGTCTGGACAACCGAGTGAGACTCCAACTCAAAAAAAAAAAAGAAGAAGATATCTTACTCACGGACGGGGTCGGCGGGTCAAGACGACATGGCAGCCGCGCTGCTGCTGGGGCTGGCGCTGCTGGGTGTCGAGGGCCCGCCGGAGCCCCCCCGCACAGTGTCCACCTCTATAGAGGATGTCGGCTCCAAGACGCTCCTCACCTGCACCCTGAACCACAGCGCCGTGGGGGTCACCGGGCACCGCTGGATGAAAGGGGACCAGGTGCTGAAGGAGGACGCGCAGCCCGGCCTGACCATGGCGTTCGACGTGAGCCCCGAGGACCGCTGGGGAGAATACTCCTGCCTCTTCCTCCCTGAGCCCATGGGCAAGGCAGACATCCCGCTGACGGGGCCTCCCAGGGTGAAGGCGGTGACGAAGTCGGACCACATCCACGAGGGGGCGACGGCCGTGCTGGTCTGCAAGTCCGAGTCGGTGCCCCCAGTCACAGACTGGGTCTGGTACAAGCTGGTTTCCTCGGGGAGCCCGGTCGTCGTGAATGGCTCGCAGGACAAGTTCTTCGTGAGCTCCTCGGCGGGGCGGTGGGAGCTGCGCATCCAGGGCCTGGACCTGAAGGCGGACGCCGGGCAGTAAGTGTGCGACGGCACCAGCCCCGAGGGCAGCGCCCACACCGTGATCACGCCGAGGGTGCGCAGCCGCCTGGCCGCCCTCTGGCCCTTCCTAGGCATTGTGGCCGAAGTGCTGGCGCTGGTCACCATCATCTTCATCTACGAGAAGAAGCAGAAGCCCGAGGAGGTCCTGGATGATGACCACGTGGGCTCTGCACCCCGGAAGAGCAGCGGGCAGCACGTGAACGACAAGGGTAAAAAATTGCGCAGGCGGAACTCCACCTGAGGGTGGGCCGTGGCCCTGACCCCGACCCCTGACCCCCATCCCCCCCTGCCCGCCCCAGCCCCATTGTGCCAGAGGACCATCCCCCCCGAGGGTGAGTGCCCCTGACCCCCAACCCCTCAGCCTGTCCGCCCCAACACCGTGTGCCGGAGAAACTCCACCTGAGGACAGGTGGTGCCCCTGACCCCGTCTGCCCCCCGCCCACCGTCTGCAAGCCCCGCCCTCCCCCTTAGGAACTACTGCCCGTCCCCCCCCAAAGCAAAGCAGTGTCATTGGAATCACACGCTTTTCCTTTTTTTAAAACGTGGGATCCGTCCCTCAGGGTTTCCTCCTCTCAGTCTCATGGAAGCCCAAGGGCTACGGCCACTCTCGCCTGCCAGCCGTCCACCACGTCTGCGTTGGGTGCGGTGGGTCCATACTCTCCACCCAGCTCACGCCAAGGCTCTCTACTCTTGGCGGCGGCCTCAGGCCATGTGAGGCCCAGAGTCCTGCATGCCTGAAGCCCACGCTGTCTGGGGCACCCTACACGCGACGGCGCATTTTCTTTCTTTCTTTTTTATTTTTTATTTTTTGAGTTGGAGTCTCACTCTGTCACCCAGACTGGAGTGCAGTGGCCGCTCCCGGCCACAGCAACCTCGACCTGCTGGGCTCCGGCTATCCTTCTTCCTCAGCCTTCCGAGTAGCCGGAATTACAGGCTTGCGCTACCACGCCCGGCTGATTTTTTGATTTATTGTAGAGATGAGGTCTCTCCAAGTTGCCCTGGCGGGTCTCGAACCCGCGGGCTCAAGCAAGCCACTCACCTCGGCCTCCCAAAGGCACGGGATTACAGGCTGAGCCACTGAGCCGGTTGACTGCACATTTTCTAAAAGCTGCAGGTCTGCCTGACTCGGGAGGCTCAGGCATGGCTCTGACCTCTTGGCCGCAGGGACCTGCCCGCTCGCTCTTGGGGAACCCCTTCTCAGCGTCTGTGACCCCAGGCCCTTCCGTGTCTTGTGTCCAGGACGGTGCTGTCCAGGCAGCTGTGGGGATTGCCATTGGGACTGCAGAGACCCTCCCCCCACCAATAAAGACTGACCCACCTCACCCTCAAAAAAAAATCTTAGTTACACCATTAAAAACACAATCCACAAAAGAATGAATTGATACATTGGACTTCATCAACATTAAGAACTACTCTTTTGAATGACCTTGTTAAGTGAATGAAAAAGGAAAACACAAACTGGGGGAAAAATCACCTATTTGATAAATGACTCTTATCTAGCATTTATAAGGAATTTTAAAATCTCAATTCAAAATTCCACCAGCAGGTCAATATATAAACAAATGACAGTATGCCTGTACAATGGAATACTGATTAGCAATAAAAAGGAAAAGCTATTGGCACAACAACTTAAATGATGCCAACATAATTATTCTGAATGAAAAAGCCAGTCAAAGAAAGAGCTCATACTGTATGATTCTATTTATATACATTTGTATAAAACGCAAATAAATTTATGGGAACTGAAAGCAGATCATTGGTTGACTCAGTGGGTGTGGGACGGGAGAGATAAAAAGATGCGTGAGGACCATTTCATGGGTAATAGGTATGTTCATTATCTCTATTGCTGTGAAGGTTTCTTTAAGGGTGTATATACATGTCAAACTTACCAAATTTTTACTTTAAACATATACCTCAATAGAGCTCAAAAGAATTCAAAAATACTTTTCAAAAATATTTCAAAAATTCAGATAAGCAATGGATAATATAACAAATATCCGTGTACCCTCCACTAAGTTTTGACAGCCATTAACAGTTTGCTATAGTTCCTTTAGATTTTCCTAAGAAATAAATCATTGTAGATATAATAGATGAGGAAGGTGACAGAGTGATCCCTTCCTCTTCCAATTTCCCTTCTTTCACTTTTCTTTCCCCACGTGTAACCATTATGCTGACTTTAATGATTGTGGATTTCACATTGGTTTGTTTTGTTTGTATGCCCATAAATTACACAGTATACATTTGCATGGTTTGCATATTGGAAATCTTTATATAAATGGTAATTTCCTCCCAAAACTTGTTCTCTAGATCCAACACTGTGTCTTTTGAAATCTACCCATATTACTCTACTTCATTCATTTAATGGTCCCCTTTGAGAATATACATAATGTATTTAAACATTCTCCTCCTGGATTTTAAGCTGTTTTCAATTTTCCAGTGTTATAAACAATGTTGTCCTTCAAATTCTTGCACCTGTCTCTTTGGGCCTGTGGGTGGGTATATACCTGGAGGATTCCTGGAAACCTTCATTTTTACCAGCTAGAGCTACATGGTTCTCCAAAGTGAGTCATAATCACACAACAGTTAACATTCCGATAGTTCCTTGTCCTTACCTGCACTTGGTTCTGTAACACTTTTAAACGTGAGGCCTGGAAATTTTCAATTCTTCCGGGGAGGACCTAGCTTCTGGTTTTTCAGGTATACCTTGCAGCCATCCTCTCTGAAGTTAGCCATCTTCCTGGAGGGCAACCAGGAGCCAAACTGGAGACACGCATCTCATGGTACCTTTTCCGAATCCCCTGGAATCCATGTCTACTGCTCCCTCTCCCTCTGACCTTGAAAGAACTCCTTTCTCAGCTTACTGCTCTTCCTTTTGGGACCAGCCACCACCATCCCTTGGTGACCTTTGGCTTTTAAAAGACAAGTATAGCTGCAGCTCTTCAAGCAAAAATTCTCCAAGCACAGAAATAGGAAAGGCCTGCCTGCTTTTGTGGAATCAGTGGGAATTGGAAGTGGAAAGGGTAGTTAGGAAATCTCCAGGCAAAATGCTAATTGCCCTCTCAAAACTACCTTCTCTGTCCAAATGGTACTTTATCATCTAGATGCCAAACCCTGTGACATTCACTGACACCACTTTATATAGTTCTCACATCCAGTCTTTACTTTCTGTGAATTCTTCATTCAAAATGCCCTTCTTAGTCTCTGCATTTACCCCATTCTAGACCTTTCTTTCACGTCAGCACCTGGTGGTCATCATCTTCTCTTCCCACTCTTCTTATCCTACCCATCCCCAATTATTTCTGCAAATGAGCCCCAGGATAATATTCTTAGAAAACAACTTTGAACATTTCAGTGTCCTGTTTACAGGCTTTTAATGTCTCCCTCTTGCCTGCAAGGTAAGGTTCAGACTTCTTAACCTGAAGTCATGGCCCTTGGTAATCTGCCCCTACCTAACTCAATACCCTTTCCTTCCTCTATGATGTACCCTGGCTGGCCAGTCTCCTTCGTCTTCCAAATAGCTCTATCACTTTTCAACTTCTTCTCCTCCTTGATGGCTATTTTTCCAGCTATTTTGCTCCACCCAGCCTTTGCAACTCTAGGCCACCACTATCTTTTAAACTCCAGCTGTTGATGACATCCAGGCCAAATATTTGGACAGATAACCCCAGTTTGCTTTATGACAGTTTTATTTTGCTATTTGATTTTTCACATATGTATTTATGTTTCTCTCTCCTTTAAGGCTCTTGCTTTCCTAGCATTTGTTGCATAGACATTATTAGTTTCTCTAGCTGCTGAAACTAAAAAGCTAATGGTGTTCATTTGGGAAAATACTGCATATCATACCCCTCTCCGGAAGATTCATATTACACATAACCACATTAAAAGATCATAAAGTCCTGTGTCGATTAAAATTTGACTTAATTATTTTCTGATTATTAATCATCAAGGAAAAAAATCTGTATTTTTTTGTCTTATAGCCATATTAATGTTCCTCAGAATGTAGTGCTTCTCAGAGGAGACTTTGAGAAGCATGGAATTAAATTAGAATCTCTTTGCCTATTTTTGTAACCCTACCATGGTGCCTAGGCCAGTGTCCTAGTATTTAGAAGGTTCTCAGGAAATATTTGGGGATTTGATGGATAATCATGAATGTTTTAGTCACATAATGAAGCAAACTCTTCTAAGATTTTCTTTCTGTGCAGTCATAGAGTGCTGTGAAACAAATAACCTTGCTTCCATTTCTTATTAAGTTTATTGGCACAAGACTCTGAAACTAATAGAATTTCTAAGTCCTCTATATGCTTCCGTGTCTGCCTGAGAAAGATGATCTGTGCTTATACACAATGGGAACATAAAAAGCTTGCAGAATTTTCCACTTCTAGCACACCAGACCCTGTTGTTGTCATTCAAATGCCTGTCTTATCATTTTCTTTTAGTTAGAGAAATTATTCAGAGAAAAGCTCGGGAGCCTTTCTGGACTCTCTGAAAAGGAACTGAATCAGAACTTTTACTCAGATGAATTGTACTTCTAGGCCTAACTTTTTGCCCCTACATTTGTGGGTTTGGCAGAACTTTTTTGCATATTAGATTAAAAAGCTAATAATGGTGGTTTGAATCTGAGTCTGAGCTAACAAAAGAAAAATAACTACAATTAGTTCAATGGCCAAAGTTGTGGTAGATCTACTATTAATTAGAAGCTAAAATTTGACTCTGGAATTTAAAAGTAAAAGGAGATTTTAAAGAAGAATGACAATATTTGTGATATTTTTGAAGTTAATAGGTCTGTTTTCCTAAATTGTTTTTAATGGATTAATATAAATGTAAATATATTTTATATATTATGCATATTATATTTTATAATACATAATGTGTTATCTACATATTATTTATTTCATGTACATAAAATCCAACATATACAAAAGGGCATATAGCAAAAAGATCCTTTTCTCCCTTCTCAGTATCCTACCAGTCAGCTCCTCCCAGGGGACATCCCTTTCTAAAATATGCTTTCTCACCTTGTAGAGATATGTTATGCATATTTAAGTATGCATTTATGAAATCCCAAGTATTATACAATTTATACTTCTTAATCTTGCTCTTTCTCCTAATACATATCGGAGAAGTGTTTATTTCAGTTCATATGGAGTCTCTTCTTTCTTTTCTTTTTTTTTAAAGATGTGGAGTGCAATTCTGGGTTAGGTATATAAATGTTCATTATACGGGTACCCTTGCTGATGAGGT